CTTATATATATATATATATATATATATATATCATATTAATTATTTTACTAGTTGATGTAGGATCTCTAATACATATTTTTATGTGGAAAATTGAACATTTTGAATAAAAAATTTATAAAATGAAAGATTTGTGAGTAATGATTCGATAATAAAGGAAAACTACTGTTAAATCCAACAATAATTAATGTGTTGTTTTTAGTTAATTATTCAGCAAAATGATTTAATTAAATATTTCAAAATAGGGGGTGTTATAGAAACATATTAATCGAAACATGCACCCAAGAATAAAACCATGTTCATAATTGTGTGTGGATATTGACATATATTAACAAAAAAAAAAAAAACACTTGTTAAATACTTAAATAACTGAACAACTTTTAACTTGTACATTGTCTGGTAAACAACAGAAGTTAGAAACAAAATAATGTTAAATTTGATATATAGTATGCATTTTGATATTAGTTATCTTAATTAATTCTCATTAATTATTTTAATAAAATAATAATAATAATAATAATAATAATAATAATGATAATAATAATATTATAATAACAATGACAATATATAATAATATCATAATAACAATATCAATAATAATAAAAATGAGATGGAGATTGAAGGTTGATTTAATGTGATGGAGATTGAAGGTTGATTTAAGGTGAAGGTGGTGTAACAACAAAAATATATTAAATAAGTTGTACCTAAAACTATAAGTCCTTGCACAATTCATTAAATAACAAAAAAATACAAGTTTTATTTTATCAATTTTCATCTCATTTATCTTATCATGTAATATTTTACAAATCAAACATATAAAACAATTATTTTTTTTTTTTAAACGTTACTGTAACTTTTACCCTTTTAACAAATTAAACAGAAACATACTCTTAAAGAGATAAATTGCACGTACGTAGCATTTAATTTTTCTTCAGTTTTCCTTGTATATTTAATGTCTTCCTTTGATCTACACATTCACCAAAAATATATGAGGATGTAAATTCATTAATTAATTGCATCACAAACTCTTCTAGATTAGATTTATAGAGAAACCAACTAGGTGCAGTTAGCGAATATCCAAGCGACTGGGATTTCATTCAGTGAAGGAAGATACAGTATGATTTTCAGGCAGTCATAGCAGAGCTCTTAAACACCCCACCCTCATCCTATAGCCTTTACATTTCACCAATATCAGGAGAAGAAACATCCACATGCACTAATTAATTACTTCAACACAATATCACTCTTAATTAACGCTTTCAGAATTTTCTTCTTCCTTTCACACTGCCTTAACCGTTTCAAATCAAAAAGGAAATTAAGTTAAAGAAGCAATAGTGTACGTTTAGTTTGTTAGTAATTAACATACTAATTAAGAACATCGATCCATTGCATATATAGTGCATACGGTAACAGAAGTAGTAATTAAGTAACATACATGGAAGAAGACTACACTTTTCACTCTTCACCACACATGCATATTCTATACACGTCAGCAATACTGATGATCCAACCATTTCTGCAACCTCAACTCTCTATAGAACCTTGCTATGAACTCTTCCGCAGCCTCATCCACCTCAAAATCCTTCTCCGCCTGCTTCACCATCGACCCGGAGATCTTCACGCGCCTCTCTATCGCGCCGCCGTCGCCGCGGCACATCCTGGGCGGGCGGTGCGCCGCGGAGGGCGGAGAGAGCCTCCTCCGGCGCGGCGGACTCCCGCTGCAGCTGAACTGGTACTCGAGCGGCGACACGAAGGAGACGTGCGCGTCGCGCGGGCGGCACGTGAGGGCCTGGTGGTGGCGCACGACGACGTCGTTGAGCGCCTTCCCTATGCTCTTCCCTCGCTTCACCATGTCCTGCATGTCGTAGCCCAGCAAACGCACCGTTTTGCAGAGTTTCTCCGCCACGAGCGGCGCGCGGCTCGGGTCCATGCACGTGATGTCCGCCACGTGCGGCAGAGGGAAGTGTGTGTCTGTGCGTGGCTTCATCATGTGGTCCAAGTTAGAGAGACAAAGTGATGGGATTGGTGAAGAGGGTTGGTTTGTGGGGAGAGACCAATTTATAGGAATCTAAAAGGTTGTTTGGTTTGACGTTGCTGTTATCGATAGTGAACTCTAATCATTACAGTTTCATTGTGCTTATCCCTTTCTCTTCTTCTTATTGGATGTTCTTATGCAATTATTGTGCTATTATAACGCCCTCACTATATTCCTTTTCCTTTTATTTTTCTTTTCAGCATACATACTTTATTTTGTTAATTAACTACATGTAGTAGCAGCAGCAACAGCATCAAATATGAGAGAAAGCCTCACTTTAAAATGGTTAGATGAGAATTGATTATAAGTGGAACATATACACCACCAACCCAAAGTCCCAAACTGGTGGCGACTTTGAGTGACCCTTGTCTGTGTTGTGGACCTACGCACCTTTAGTTTAGAAGGATAGTGTAGTGAGATTTTTCTTTTCTGTATTTTATTATGCTAATGAATATATAAACCACAAAAAGCAATAGAACTGACTCACGGATTGCCCGCACAATTATAAACTAGTTATGCATTAATATGGAGGGGTCTCCAAATGACAACTTTTGGAACATTATCCATATTTAATTTCCGACTTACATGTAAAAGCTATATATATTCCACACTTTGTTTATTTTATTATTTCCTCATATGGCCTACTGTCATCATGATAGTATCAATTATCAGGAATCCTAGCTATAGAACTTTTATTTAGTCGGTGATCGATCGAATTATGTATTATAATAAGTATCTGACAATCCAGTTATTTTAATTAACTAAAATCCTTTATTTGTTCCTATCGAAAGCAGTCATAGATAAAACTTTGTTGAAATACTTTATCAGTTTGTACTCAATGCTACTATTTTAATATTTCGATTTTTTTTTTCAGCGGTGATCGAGGCCGGGTGTTCGATCGGCTATCTTGAATGTGTTGTTTGTGCATTGAAAATTTTCTGGGTCCCCCTTTAAAACCACACAACAATATATCCATGAAATTAAGGCTAGAATGATTGTAAGCATGCATACTCGTGAATTTTTGTTGTCGTAAATGATCTTTTTTACTTTATTTTTTATGAAATCAAATTTTATATTATATTTACAAAAGAAAAGAAATATGTGATAAGATAATTGATGCGATGAAAAAAACAAACAAGATTATAAAAGAATATGAAGTAAATGAATAGTAGTAATAAACCTAAATATCGTAAGCGTGCGGATGTGGAGAGAGGGTTGCGATAAAAGAGGGTCCGATAACAAGGGGGTTGTTTCAATTCTACTTCGAGATCGACCATGCACGTACAGAAAAGCAGAACAAAAATGGGAAGTGATCATTTTCAGTTGATCATGGTGATGATAATTTCATTCAGCTTATTCTTTCAGTCATCAATTGCCTGGTTCCAATTTTTATTCTCCCACATGCAACTACTTAACTCTAGAGTAAACCTTGAGTTATAGCTTGACACTTTCAGTTAGTCATGATCATGATTTCTTTCAGCTGATTCTAAGTCATTTTAATTTCAGTTGATCCTCATCATGATTTCATTCAGCTGATTCTTAATATCCGTCGTCGTCAATTGCCAAATTCCAATTTTTATCCTCCCACGCGCAACTTCTTATGATTAGGATAATCTCATGTAATTTGTAATTATGTACAGATATTTAACAAACATGGATATGAGCTTTTCGACTTGTATAGAGTAAATAAAAATTGGGACAACTTTGTTTTTGGCAGATTCGTTAACATACAACATGTGAGAAGAGAGACTGAAATAATTTATTTTTTCAAATTATCGAAAAAATTTAAATTGAGAAACTAAAAAACCAAATTTACTTAATATTTGAAGAATTTTAAATATATTTAAATTTGTATATTATGTAAAAAAAATGAATTGGATTATTGACTAATGAAAAAAAAAGTAGACAATGATATTGTCTATTTTACAAAAAAAATATAAAAATAAAGCACATAATGTCATAGTCAATTTTCATTTTTTTTAAAGCAAAGTAGATAATATTGTCGTGGACTTTAATATTTTGAAAAGAAAAAAGAAAAGAAAATAGATATTAACATTGTCGATTTCTTTTTCATCAAGAAAAAAAATGTTTTTTAATAAATTAATTATAATAATGTCAGGTTAAAAAAATTATTAAAAAAATATTAAAAAGTTATTTTAATTTATATTTTAGTTACAAAATTCTTTTATATAAAAGTTTTAACTTTAAAGCTGTTGTTGAATTACAATAATTACATGTTACTCCTGCTAACGTGTATGCATTTAATAAGAGACACCACTTATATACAAAGTACCTCCTTTTGCGGTAGTAAATTAATAATGGAGATGCCAGTTTCTAAAATTATATTAACTATCCTATTGTTGATACATCCTATATATGAAAATATTTTTTCTTTTACATTAAATTTATAAAATAATATTTAATCAATAAAAATTATGTCTATACAAGTATGCACTACACCAAAATTAGGTTTTTGTGGCAATTAATTTATTCTTTAGCGACCATATAAATAGTCATTATTTTTTTTACCAGCATTTAGATAATGGCTGGTGTATCCAGTGTCGCTAATACTATTACCGACATTTATATAAAATGCTGGTAAAGACCTACTAAATTGTCGGGAAAACTTATTTTTTTTAGTGGCAATTTTAGTAGCCACCTTTCCATCCATTTAGTGACTTTTATCTTTTGCTAGTAAAACTTTAAATAATTTATTCCTATAATTTTCTTTTCTAAATTCATAACTTATATACTTTTTTTTTATCTCTAGTCGATGTGAGATTTGTAAGATGAGGGTTGTCTTCTATATATATATTTATAGTGAATTAAGAGTCTAACTCAACCCTATAAATCAACTTACAAGGTGATAGTTATTACTCACTTATATAGTATTTAATTATCTTATCTCTAATCGATGTGGGACTAGTTTTTTTCAATAAATAATTGTCGCTAATAATAAACTTTAATGTAATATAAATACACTTTTGGTGGCTATTATATATTAGCCATTAATATTTTTATTATATAATTAAATAGCGATAATTAAACTATTGTCATTAAACAATTGTTGTTAATAATAATTTTTGTTGTAGTGATGTGCTGATTAATTTAGTTGTTAAAAAGTCCATGTATTAGTTTTTTGTGGTGTGAAAATACTGTTGAAAGCTCAACTAACTTCTCGTAACAATTTTTTAAAATAATTAGATAACTTGTTCTAAGGAAGTGATTGTGTTTCTTTATTATTTTTAAAATTTATTTTATTTTAATAAAAATTAATCAATTAATTAATTAATTTGTCTTCAATTATTGTTTTAATTGATTTTTCACTAAAAAATTATTATATATATAATGATACATTAATATTTTTTATACTATAAATATAATAAATATTAATACATTATTAAAAAATAATAGATATAAATTATATTGATACATAATATATATTATTGAATCTCATTTAAAATTAATATTAAAATTATGTATATTTATATGTCAAATAAATTTATATATATATATATATATATATTTATTATAATAATATTTTGTGTATGTCATTATATGTAATATTTTTTATAGTATTTATTAGTTTTGTCAAAAATATTCTTTTTAGAAGAGAGACATTTATCTGCGACATATTGTAAGATGAAAATACAAGTATACACACTTGAGAGTTGTCAAAGAATATATGAACTCTATGTTTGTAAAGATTTATATCAAATTGTGAAGGAGAAATGACTGGGTCTAAATGTTATTGTTTAGTTTTAGTTTCTAGCTAGTGTGTTTTGTAAGGATCACGCGGTTAATGTTACTTCAAGAAAAAGTGTAACATTTGGTTTCAAATGCATACGCACCAAACCACTTAATGATATGATGTGTATATTTATAAGTAGTAATGAATCAATTTTTTTTTTGTTTTTTTTTAAACGAATAAATAGTCTTTAATATTTTCATACATGAAAAATATTATAAGTTTTTACAAGATACAAAATTTTAAGCAATATATGCATCTGTGTAATTGACTTTATTTGTCCACAACCCAATTTTAATGTGAATGTTTAATGTTCAACGAATATTAAATTAAAAATAAAAAAAAAATTATATATTTTAAAATAAAATGATTAACTATCTCTATTTTAAATAAAAGAACCAAAATTTTGAATTGGCAAAAAGAGAAGTGTAACGTCCTACATTTTTTGTAAATGGATTAATAACATAATTTTTTTTAAAATTTAAAGGGTTGACATTAGAGACCATTTTAATGTTGAAATTATAGTCTTATATATTTGTCTTGGTTAATTATATGAGGATTATATTTTAATATAATATTTATTAATATTTTATTATTCTTATTCTTACTATTATTATTTGCGTGAAAGAGATATGTAATCAAAATTAAGATTGAGTAACTATAGATAGGTTAGAGGGAAGTTAAGTTAGGTTTAATATTAAAAAGAGAGACGCGTCAAATTTTAGAATACGCTAAACCCTAAACTCTAAATTTCGAAATACGCTCATTTTTTCTTTTATGCTCTAGAGAACCAGAAAGAAAGGAGGCAAGAGGAGACCATCTTGGAGATCCATGTTCTTTGCGTTTTGTTAATAGAGCAATGAGGAGTGAGGAACATTACACTCTAGGTGTGAGTTTGTATGCCCGGTAGTAGGATTGATTCCCAATCATGTGATGTATGCCTATGTATGAGGAATTTCTCCTAATGTTTATGTTTTGCTCTATGTTCTTCGTACTCGTAATTATGGCATGAATTGTTATAATGTATATAATCAATTATATGTTTTGGGTTGTAATTGTATGATTTGAGGTTCATGTGAGTTCCTATGGGAAATCCTAAGAGAACTTGTTGTGATAATTTGTGAAACTATTAATTGATATGTGTAAATTGAATGATTTGAAATATTAATTATATGTTGTACTATCCGTACCGTCTTATCGAGCTCGAGCTCGACATCACAGCGCAAGACGACCTCGGATACGCGCTGGGCGACCTCGGCCAAGACGAGGTCCGCTATCCAATTAGG